GAGGTCTCTGCAGAAATGATTAAAAAATTTAAAAACAATGAATATGAAATTCATTTGTGTCCTTGTGTATATTGCCCATATATATATATATATATATTATTTTAATTTCTTAAAGAGTAATAGTTATTAATTAGAACAACTGATTTTCCGCCCCTAAAGATGCATAAATTATACTATATACTTCATTTAAGTTTAAAAATTACACTACCACACCTTCGAAGAGATTAACTTAATTTTTATTTTAATTAATTTTAATATAAAAGAACCTCTATATGATATGCATAAATAACTACAAATGAACTTTATTCCTTTTCCTTTATTTGCAGATGATCTTGACTTAACAATTAGTTTCAAACATGATTATTATTATTATTATTAATTTGAACAGCCAAGTTTCAAACATTATTATTGACTTGAATCTTTTAAACATATTTACCCTTTACTTTAAAACTTCATTTAAATTTATTTTGATTTTAAAATTAATAATTGGACTTAAAAAGCTTTATGGATTCATGTCCATCGGTAACAAACATCTTACCAAACACATATATAAGACAAAACATAGAGGACTTTTCACTAAATGGCGATTAAAATATTATCTATGAGTACTAATAAACTTTATGAGTATTAATTGAGTCTAAATTCGATTATCATCTAAATTATCTCTCTTTAGCATTTCCACTAAATGAATCCAATATATTCAACCCATGCATGCTAAAAAGAATTTGGTAATTAACAAGTAACTCAAACAAAAGAAACAAATTGAAAAACAATAAAAAACTAAACTCTCAGGAAAACAGATCCTCTACAATCAGCAACTAAACCCATGCATGCACGCTAAATTAATTACTTTTTTTAAAACTAAAAACTAATTATATTTTTTTTAGAGTTTCGTAAAATGTTAATATTTATAGTTTTTGAAAAATAAATAAATAAAACAATTTATGTGACATTTTACAAAAGTACACAGTTATAATAATTTTTAAAGCATATATTTAAGTAGAAAAACACTTTTTTTTTTTACTTTTCAAAAATACAACCCTTAATCTAAACTTGAACTAATATCATCAGGAAATTAAGCACCCTCAACATTTCTCATTCCTTGAGCTAAATTAGTTCCAAGAGGAAATATAAGTGGAAAACCAAAATATCTCCAATCTTATATATATAGAAGACTACGAAATTATAACGTAAGGAAATGAAAATGTGTGCCAACTCACGCAAAAGCTTTATTTTCTTGATTCCATCCCAACTTGTTTTGTTTTTATCTTTAATACGTATATTTTTCACTTAAGATCGATATATAGAACATAAAACTCTTTTTCTAAATATTTAATTTATATCAAAAAAATTTACCCGCTATACATGTGTGACTAAAAATATTAGATTTAATTGTAATTTTAATCCTTATAATGTGTAGCTTACATACAAAATTATACAAATATTTTTTAAATTATTATATTAATACGAAGTATCTATTATACCAATAAAAATTATAAAAAATATGTAAAAAAAAATTTCTAATATAATTTATTTTATACTCAAAATCAAGATTCAAATATTAAATAATTTAGTTAAAAAATGCAAATAATTACTACTTATGTCAATATATTACAAAAAAAAGTTATTTCGTTAAAATGTGTAAATATAAATTATAATAGATATATTTATATTGTTGAATTTTATTTAAAATTAATATTATATATAATTATATCTTAAATAAATTTATATTTATGTATATTATATTGATAGTGACATTTTTTTTTATGTTGTTGTATGTAAATTTTTTTTTCCAGTTATATATATACTAATAATTGGCTCTTATATGAAATAAGATTTAATTATAAATGATGGAGGTGAGAATATATATGGTTGTAATTGATCTAACTATATATATTTAAATCTTTTATGGAACCCTTGGTGGGAAGGTAAGGGAGCTAGAAATTTGATATGCGATGATTCGAGAATCTAGTAATAGAAGAACCCGTGAAGAATGTCTGGCCCGCATGGAGATGAGCTATTCTTTTCCTCATCATCTCTCTCTGCATGCAGAATATTGCAGAACTACACAGTAACAGGAATATATTGTTAGAGAATTAGATCAAATTAGAAAACCAAGAAGCACTGAAACACTATTATGAGGTTGTTATCATAACCTCAAATATGTGTGCATCATCAATCACTTACTAGAAGAAAGGAAACAGAATATATATCTATTAACCGATCCACCTGGGAACATTCATACATATGCGCTCTCATCATCATCATCATCTAAAAACGTCATATTATTTGGAATCGTGCATTATTCATAAAGTAATTTTCAGTTACTCCTCAATATGTTATATCCATGGCATGCATGTCCATATCTGTGCACTCATCTAGGAATGCGTGTAGATTTCCTTTTCATATTCATCTTTTAATTTGCAAGTATAAATATATAAAAGTACGTGGATATGTGTTTGGTATATACTAACACACAATTAGTTTTATAAATGGAGCTAGTCTTATTAATTAGTGTAAACTACTGAATTTTCATCATAAAACGATAAAAAGAAAAAAGAAGAAAAAAAAGTTAGGCGCCCACATCTCAAGCAAATATCTTAATTAATTAGTCAAAATTGGAAGGCCATCTACCCATAGTAACATCATGATCTCAACAAACTTAATTAACTATATATTTCCCAATCGATTTATCAATTTCCTTCAAGAATTTGAGGGAGACTGAGTCGATCAAGACTATAATTTTGAAAAGTCAACCTGACAAATCAAATTAGTTTGTGACGCCTCTATAAATTAGGACGTCGATATCTAAAGACAAACTTTAATTAAATTTATAGATAATACAGGTAGCATTAATTTGAAGATCAAAAAGCATGACTACAAACTATGACTTTTAAGCTGCTAATTCAAAGTGAATCACTTCAGCATATATAGTCTACATATATATCTTCCTCGAAATGAAATTATAACAAAAGCTCTAAATTAAATATGAATTAAATCCTAATATTCCTGC